AAGCTAGGGCCAGACTCCTGGGTGCTGAAGTTGAGTCTCTTGTCTAGGAATAGGCCAAGAAACTTTCCAACATTTTTATTACTGATGTTAATGTTGTCTAGCTGTAGCTGAATTGTATTCAATGATTTGCTTCCAAATAAGATGTTCAGTAGTAGGTCTTTTCTATGTTTAATGTTAGTTTGTTAGTTGTTTGTTTGTTTGTCACACACTTTTAGTGTGTGGTCTGGTCAACATACTTCAGCCACGTTATTGTGACTCATCGCCTGCATATGGATCCTTCTTCATTCAGGTTTGGATCTTTGTGTCCTTACTGGGTGCGTTATGAGGTTCCTTGGTCGTCCTGGCTTGCCGACTGCCTCCTTGTTTTTGTTGGATGCTTGGGACTTGTTCTGTCGGAATCGCACGTTTGAGTGGCATGAGGAGTTGAGTGTGGTCCAGGTTTGCCTAGGGGGCGATTTTGAGCATCTTATTGAGTGCCTTTTTGCTCCTGCCCTTTTGCGGGACATTGGTGTGGTTCAGCTTCATGTGTCGGTTGCACTTGTGGCTGAGGACTTCCGCACCCGTGGCTTTTTGGCTTTGGTCCTGCATTTCTTTTCCCTCCTTGAGTTGTGTTTGGATTAGCTTGCAAAGGATGTAGAGGCGCTTGGGGCCGTTCCTGGGTCTGGCGCCTTAGTCTCAGCTGCTTGTGTGTTGTCTGCTCTTTTGAAGCTGTTTGCGCCGATCCTGTGGGAGGAGTTGCTGCAGTTTTTCCCTGCGAGTTTTGCATGTCGACAGGCAGTTCTAACTTCCTCCTCGGAATCCGCTTGGGCCCTGATTCTTCGGTTATCGTCCCCTTTTTGTCCTTTGCTTTTTGAGGCTTCTGCAGTTAAGCGTTATATTCAGGCTGCTTCTTCCACTTGCCGCCCTATGTTTGATTAGTTGGTTCTTTGGGGGAATGGGGTGGTTCCTTCCCAGCAGGGTCGTGCCAGGGCTCATGATTCCGTTCGTCGGGGTCGGCCACAGGTGTTGGGTTTGGTGCTGGTGCCGCCTGCAGTCCTGGCTGCGCCTGGTCAGCGCGGTGTTTGCTCTGTGCACAGGTTGGGTTCTTATAAGGGGCAGCGGCCCTTTCGCAGTTTGCCCCATTGACGGGGCGGTGGGGGGGGGGGGGAGGCTTGCCCTGTTTGCTCACACTTGGTCTCAGGATTTGTGGACTTTTCAGGTCGTTTCTCACGGCCTGCGGTGGCATTGGGTGGCCCCTCCTCCTTCGGGGGGATTGGGGCTAACAAGGGCAGGCTTCCTCTCCTGCGCTCTGTCAGGTCATCTTGGAGTGGGTGCACTTAGGTGTGGTCGAAACGACGACGTCTCTCACGTTAGTCTCCCGCCTGTTTCCAGTTTCGAAACGGTTCTGTGCGGACCTGTGATTCATGCTGGACTTGTTCCGTCTGAACCCTTGGGTTTCTTGCTCCTCGTTTCGGATGGCCACTTTGTCCCAGGTCCGGCTCCTGCTGGAGCTGGGCGCTTGGATGGTGTCCTTGGACCTCAAGGACATGAATTGGCACGTCCCTAGTCATCTGGGGTTCCGGGACTGGCTCTGTTTTGCTGTGAGGCGTTAGTTACCACTTTCGTTCTCTCATTCGGGTTGAATTTGGCACCTCGCGTGTTCACATGGCTTACCCAGGTCGTGGTGGCCCATTTGCTTTTGTTAGGTGTTCGGGTGTTGGCCTCCCTCGACGACTGGCTGGTTTGGGCCTCCCCAGTCGGTCTGCGTGTCTGCTTGCCAGGGATTTGGTACTTTCCCAGCTCACCGGGTTCGGGTTCCTGGTGAACTGGAGGAAGTCCCATCTGGTTCCCTCCCAGGTTCGGTCCTGGGTGGGTCTTGTGTTGGACTGTTGGACCGCTTCCTTGTGTCTTCCTCTGGCGTCTCTCCTTCAGCTGCGGTCTCACCTGAGGTTGTTTCTGGGAGGCTCCTGGGTCACCCGACGGTTGCTCAAGGGTTTGTGCGGGAGCCTGAACTTTGCAATGTTGGTCTACCCACTGGGTCGGGTTTGGCTTCGTCGGTTGGCTGTTCTGGTTCCTTCGGGGACGTCCCTTCCCCCCCCCCCCCCCTCTCGTGATCGCTGGGTTCGACCCCTGGGGGCTTTGTGTCGGCTGCTGCATCGCCACCTTCCTCTTCGGATTTTTCGGGGTTCTGTGGCTTGGCGCCTACCAGAGCTCTCGCTCGATGTGTTCATGGTTGTGTCGTCTCCTGGCTGGGGCTTTGTGACCAGTGCTCACCAGGCTGGTCAGGGGTGGTGGGGTCCGTCTTGTTATTCAGTTGGCTCTGCCAGACGTTCAGGCGCCCGGAGGTGGACCTATTTGCGTCGGCGTGGTCAAGGAGTCTTCCGGTATATGTGGCACCCTTCCCCGACTGCTAGGCTGTTTGGGTCGATGCCTTTCGGCAGGACTGGTTGAGGTGGGGGGGTTCCTGTACCTCTTTTCCCTGGTTCAGCTGTTGCTCCAGGTTCTGGCTTGTTTGGAGAATTACCAGGGGTGAGTAGTCCTCTTGGCCCCCATGCTGGCCGGCCTGGTTGTGGTTTCAGGCACTGCTTGCCCAGCAAAAATCTCCGCACCTGGAAGTTTTTCTATGGCTCCGCCTCTTTCAGGAGATCGGCCTGATCCGGTAGGAGACTGGTTCAATCTTCTCCTAGAGTCCTCACGTTTCGTGTTTTTGACTCGGGTTCATCACCATCTCTATGGTGCTCAGGTGGCCTCCTTGATTATTTCCCACCTGCGGGTTTCTTCTCAGCGGCAGTATGAAGTTTCCTGGCGGTCCTTACATTTCTTTTCGACTCTTAGTTGTTGCTCTTTGCTTTCAGTAAGGGTGGTGGTGTTCTTTCTCTTGGTTGTTCCAGGACCGTCATCTCATGCCTAATACTGTCGCCTCCTATCGTGCGGTGCTGGCGGAGCCACTGCAGGTTGCTTGCAGTATAGATGTTACTTCTAAACCTTTTCACAAGCTGTCTGGTGCGTTGTTTCACCACCTGCCTGCTAATGCACTGCCTGGTCTTTGGACTGAGTGCTCTCCTATCTACCTTCTCCTCAGATTGTTGTGGTCCCTTCAGTTCAGGATTGTTTTGCCAAGGCTCTTTTTCTGTTGGCATTAGCCTCTGGGGGTCGGGTGGCGGAGCTTCATGCTCATCTCTGGCACAAAAGTTTTTGCTCTTTTGGTCGTGGTCATCGGTATGTTTGTCTGCAGCCGTCTTCCTCTTTTCTGGCGAAGAATGAGACTACTGCTTTCCGGAGGGGTCCTTGGGTTGATGCTTGGAAGGTCAGGGTGGGAGTTCATCATATGTTGTGTCCAGTTGCGGCCTTCCGCCGTTATCTTCGCTCCATGGCTTCTATATCCGTTGACGCGCTTTGGGTTAATCCGATTTCCCTTCTTCCCTGTTCGCAGGTTTGGGTCTCTCAGGCCGTTCAGAGTCAATAAGTCTAGCCAGCCTGCGGTCTATCTCCGTGCCCATGACGTTCGTAAGTTTGCTGCTCTTGCTGCCGTCTTAGGCAATATGTTTTGGGCAGACATTCGGATACGAGGTTTTTGGCAGTCGAACAGGGTCCTGGCTGCACGCTATCTCGTGAACGTTTCTGGGCCCAGTCTCCCTCCGTGTCGCTTAATTTGGGTCGCTATGGGTCGGCATTTGAAGCCCATTGTCTCAACTTCGAGTTGGAGTGCCCCCTCCCGGGGAGGGGGGAGCTGCGCAGACATGCGGCGCGGCTCATGTGACGTCATGCTTGTTTGCTCATTTTTGTTTTGGAGAGTTCTGTCTACTCGTTTGACGATTTTCGTTGTTAACCAGAATAGGAGTTTGTTTTGTGGCGCTTACCTTTCTTGGTGCCTGTCCTGGTCAATGGCAGATATAGAATGGTCCAAATCACATGTTCATTTCTATGGGCCATTGCTCCCGTGCCTCTGTGAGGGTGCCAGGTTCTGCTCGTGGTCTCCAGTAGGCCTAAAACTCCACCCACATCAACTGATGCAAAATAGTTAGGGTATTCATATCAGCCGTAAATACCTCCAGGGAGCATCCAGGACTCGCCCAGAAAATGGCATTTCATTACATTCAACACTGGTTTTTTGATGTCCAGCCTCAGAACTGAGGTTTTGGATAGCTGTCGCAAGGGGGTCTGGGGCTCCCCCTTTCCCCTCCTGGGGAGGGGAGGAGCTGTGCAGACAGCGGCGCGGCGACGTGGTGACGTCATGCTTGTTTGCTCGTTTTTGTTTTGGGAGTTCTATCCACTAGTTCGGATTTTAGTCGCAATTTCTTAAACCAGAATAGGGGTTTGTTTTGGGATACTTACCTTTCTGGGTGCCTGACCCGGTCGATGACAGACATAGAATGCTTCCAACCACATGGAAGTTTCTTTAGGTCATTGCTCCTCGTGCCTTTAGGAGGGGGCCAGGGTCTGGCTGGCCTGTGAACTCCTTTCACACCGACTGATGCCAAAGTCTAATATTAGCAATATCAGCCTGGATAGCTCCGGGGAGCCTCCGGGTCTCGCTCATAAAATGGCGTTTCATTGCGTTCAACGCTGGTTTTTTCTAGTGTTTTGACTACCATGCTTATCAATGATATGTCTATAATTTTGAAGGTGTTCTGTTACCATTTTTGTACATTGGAACTATGTTCGCCATTTTTCATACATGTATATCTGTTAAGAATCCTGTACCACATACGTCTGGAATATGGATGCAGTGACTTGATATTTAATATATTCAAGGGTTACACTAAGGATGCTGAATGCTGTCTAGTATTAATTTGTTGTTCTAATTGTTGATTTATGTTGAGTAATAATGGCTCATGGCTAATTTTGGGTTGTAACTCCCCGGGCACAGATACCATATGCGAGATATGGATAGATAAGGGAATAGTGTGAACAAGGCATGTAGTATCCTATTTCAGAGAATGCTTAGTTTTATAAATTTACATTATGTAAAAGGCCATTAAAATTCATCATCAAACTACTTTCGTTTGGTTTATTTACAGAAGTTTGTAGAAAACAGCAAGCAGGCAATGGACATACTGGAGAATCCTCAGCAAAAGCAGGAGCAACCTTGGACAACCAATGTGCAGCCCAGCTCTGGTCAGGTATGCTCTATTCTCTCTCACCAGTGTAGTAGTTACTTTGGGAGTGAACCCTTTTTGGACTTTGGGACCTTTCAGCCCACTCGTTGTAATGGCCTTGCAGCTCTAGTTTCTTTGCTTTACAGTATATTTCATGTTTAACCTTCCGCTATTTTCCTCGTGCTGTACCTTGCGGCGTGTGTTGGAAATTTGAATATACTTCCTTTATATGCAGCATTTGACCATTTCCCAGGATGTGACCCACAACAGTCGACTAATACCCAGGTTCCTAATCACTGCTACATGAACAGAGGCAATGGGTGTAAGGAGACTTGCCCATATGTCTCATCCTGTCTGGGGGGGGGGAGGGGTGTAATTACCTAAGTGTAATTACCTAAGTGTAGTTACAGGATGAGAGCTACGCTCGTAATGTCCCGTCTACTCAGCACTGTCATATAATGCTTTGAAACAACTGACGGTTTTGGCCTCTTCACTTGTTCCAATTCCAAATGGGAATTTTCTTGTATTTCTCCGGCAGCTTTGTTTCATTAGTTTACATCTATGACTACTTGTTCTTAAAGTTTCTGGTCTCAGGAATTCTTCCCTATCAATTTTATCAATTCCTGTTATTATTTTGTACGTAGTGATCATATCCCCTCTTTTTCTTCTATCTTCTAGTTTTGGCATATTTAATGTCTCTAACCTCTCCTCGTAGCTCTTGTCCTTCAGTTCTGGGAGCCACTTGATACCTGGTTGATACATGGTTGATGGGGTTCTGGGAGTTCTTCTACTCACCAAGCCCGGCCCGAGGCCAGACTTGACTTGTGAGAGTTTGGTCCACCAGGCTGTTGCTTGGAGCGGCCCACATACTCACCACAGCCCGGTTGGTCCGGCACTCCTTGAAGGAAACAATCTAGTTTCCTCTTGAAGATGTCCACGGTTGTTCCTGTAATATTTCTGATGCTCGCTGGTAGGACGTTGAACAACCGTGGACCTCTGATGTTCATACAGTGTTCTCTGATTGTGCCAATGACACCTCTGCTCTTCACTGGTTCTATTTTGCATTTTCTTCCATGTCGTTCACTCCAGTATGTTATTTTACTGTACAGATTTGGGACCTGTCCCTCCAGTATTTTCCATGTGTATATTATTTGGTATCTCTCTTGTCTCCTTTCTAGTGAGTACATTTGGAGAGCTTTGAGACGATCCCAATAATTTAGGTGCTTTATCTCGTCTATGCGTGCCGTATATGTTCTCTGTATTCCCTCAATTTCAGCAATCTCTCCTGCTCTGAAGGGGGAAGTGAGTACTGAGCAGTACTCAAGACGGGACAACACAAGTGACTTGAAGAGTACAACCATTGTGATGGGATCTCTGGACTTGAAGGTTCTCGTAATCCATCCTATCATTTTTCTGGCTGACGCAATACTTGCTTGGTTATGCTCCCTAAACGTTAGGTCGTCAGACATCATTATTCCCAAATCCTTGACATGCTGTTTTCCTACTATGGGCAGATTCGATTGTGTTTTGTACCCTGTATTATGTTTAAGGTCCTCATTTTGCCATATCTGAGTACCTGGAATTTATCACCGTTAAATATCATGTTATTTTCTGCTGCCCAGTCGAAAACTTTGTTATCTGTTTGTAGTTTATCAATGTCTTCAGCAGAGGTAATTTTCATGCTGATTTTTGTATCATCTGCAAAAGATGACACGAAGCTGTGACTTGTGTTTTTGTCTATATCTGATATGAGAATAAGGAACAGCAGTGGTGCAAGGACTGTACCTTGAGGTACAGAGCTTTTAACTGTGCTCGGACTCGATTTTACTTGATTGACTGTTACTCTTTGTGTTCTGTTCGACAGGAAATTGAGTATCCAGCGTCCTACTTTACCAGTTATACCCATTGACCTCATTTTGTGTGCAATCACTCCATGATCACATTTGTTGAATGCCTTTGCAAAATCTGTGTATACGACATCTGCATTATGCAGATGTCGTATACAGGAAAATTCTCAGGAATAATGGGGGAAATCTTTAACAAGCTGCTGGCTTCCTGTCCTCATTAATACCACTAGAAACTGGTTGCCCTCAGATAATTAGATTTAATTAGATTTTATTACTATTTTATGACAGTATCTTGTAAAGAAATTATAACGAGTTAAATATATGTACTGTATTATGGTTTGGTTAAGTAGTATGACTGAAGGACTTGTATATTCTAATGGGATTTTCATTTGCTAATGCAGATTGCTTACTGAAGGGTTTGATATGTAAGTACAGTACTGTATGTCATAATGTTTGCAACGAAGCTTATACTCGACACTTCTTGTAACGAACATGTAGTTTGCATATAAAAATATGTTGATGCATGGATGAACATGAACACATGAATTGCCAAAATACAACATACAGGCAGGCGCACATACCTGGTCACACACACACACACACACACACACACACACACACACACACACACACACACACACACACACACACACACACACACACACACACACACACCCACACCACACACACACCCACACACACACACCCACACACACACACCCCACACACACACACCCACACACACAAATTTATGTGCATGTTCATATCTCTCACATTGCAATACACACACTCGTGGTGAGAGCTGCCGCCCTTGACACTCGTGGTGAGAGCTGCCACCCTTGACACTCGTGGTGAGAGCTGCCACCCTTGACACTCGTGGTGAGAGCTGCCACCCTTGACACTCGTGGTGAGAGCTGCCACCCTTGACACTCCTGCCACCCTTGACACAGGTGCATCTCGTTCGACTGCATCCCTCTCAAATAATCTTTAAATGTATAGGATATGTTTACAATTATTTTTGTATGAATTCAAATACAATGTCATAACACACACAAATCACAATAACGTGATGCATCAAATGAACAAGGACCGTGATGAGGGTTCGAACCTACGTCCGAGAGGATCCCAGATGCGCCTTAAACTACTGTGCTACGACATGGTCAAAAGAATTGCAACCAGGAGTTCTACTGCCCTCACACGGATCCTGCAGTCTCTTGAGACACAAACCAGGGTTTTACACAATTCCCCCGTACACCTGAGCTCTGCCAACAAGCTGTTGGCAGTTTGTGTCTCGGTTTCTCTCTCGGTTTGTCTCAGACACTACATGATCCGTGTGAGGTCGGTAAAACTCCCGGTTGCAATTCTTTTGAACATGTCATGGCAAAGTCATTTAAGGCGCGTCTGGGATCCTGTCGGATGTAGGTTCGAACCCTCATCACGGCCCTTGTAGATTTGTTCATACAATGTCATATATTGCAAGGTTATATAGAATTTTGATCGTTGACACACGCATGTTGGACATGATTTAAGACTGTTGCTTCAGGAGAGGTGAAGTGACATGTCAGTTGCTTGATACAGAGCAGTCATGAGGGACGTGGTGACGTGTCACGTGTCCAGCTCTAATTTCTCTCTCAACATTGCAACACCACAGACCAACACAGACTCTGCGAGACCAAAGAGCAGAAGCTGAACCCCTGCAAGCACAACTAGACGAGTACAGACATCAACAGTCCCCTGTTAGTATTGTAAATATCTGCATGATACTCAAACATGATACATCTTGAGCACACTTTGTATTTATTTAAAGTTTAATTAGTTCCTGTTGATGCGCTAATTATATTTTGGCTGTAATCCACATGAACAAGCATTAAAACATTATATATATATATATATATATATATATATATATATATATATATATATATATATATATATATATATATATATATATATATATATATATATATATATATATATATAATCTCCTATATAATATAATGTAGCCTATATAAAATATAGGCTACATTATTGAAACAGTTGTTGGACAAATGTTGGTCAAAAGTATATGTAGTATACATTACTGTAAACCACAAGCTTTGCTAGACCTCTGACACCTATGTAGAGCATGGTGCAGGTCTTGACCTCTGACATGCAGGTAGAGCACAACATGGAGCATGGTGCAGGTCTTGACCTCTGACATGCAGGTAGAGCACAACATGGAGCATGGTGCAGGTCTTGACCTCTGACATGCAGGTAGAGCACAACATGGAGCATGGTGCAGGTCTTGACCTCTGACATGCAGGTAGAGCACAACATGGAGCATGATGCAGATTTTGAGCTCGTACATTTGGGTAGGTGTAGAGCATGTTTGTTTTGCCTCCTATACACTCAAGTGTACTCTATATCTTTCAAAAGTAAAGTACATAATAATCCTAACATTAAACACGCCTTAAAAGACTGCAAAAGAACCCATAGAGACTACTTGATAAACAAATGTATTTTCTGTTACCCGAATTTTACTTGACAAAGTAGTAATGCCATGCAAGTGAATAGTATGAAATTGTGGAATGACCTTGTGTTCTTAACCAATTTAAAAGAGACAAATAAAAACCTAATTAATATTAATATCACAGACAATTATATATCTGCTACACCAAGTAACCTAAATCTCGCATTTCACAGATTAGGCTTCATCCTAATCAAACTGATTGTTTGCTGTTACTGATAGTTTTAAATCCTGCAAGTGTGTTCTTGTAATAGTTACCACAAGAGCTACAAAATCCGGTAAAGTACAGAGGAACATAAAGTGACTTGCAGCTCCATCTACAAGCATTTCAGGTAACGAGCGAGTCGCTCGCCGAAAATTTGTCTCGATTGACGAGCTTCTGCTCGATTAAAGAGAGAACCACATGGTACTTTGTAGCATTCCCGCTGGTTCTTGGACGCCTCCGACGAGAGTGTAGTTGTTGTTGTTTAGCAAGACGAGCGTTTCACATGACGAGCTCGGTGCCGGAACGGATTAAATTAGTTAATCGAGGCTCCACTGTAGTCTTCTATAGTGGACACTTTAGCATTAACTAGTCTTTGACACTCGTTTGTTTTGGTCAGCCCATATCTCTTACCTCCGAGTTGAATGCTCTAAGGCCCTTAACCTACTTAAGGTTTTGTCCCATACTT